CAGGAACGTAAAAATCTATGTGTCAAAGATAAGGAGGATTCTGGAAGTGTGAAGATTTGAGAGCTAAAGTGTATGACTTCCAAAAATGGTCTGGTTCTGGCTAAGGTTGTATGTCATTCTATGATTTTTTTTTTCCCTCTGATTTAGCTGACTATGACAAGTATAAATAAGGGGAGAAAATAGCTACTCACTCACAGTATATAGGAAGGTATATTGAGGACAGCAATTTTTAATGCCTTTTCAGGATACTTAAACTGACACAGCATTTTTTAAAACTCAGCAAATTTTTGGAAAAATGAAATTATATCTTTATTAGAGACATTTTCTATCCCTATCTTTGACATTTTAAGTGAGACAATAGATAACAATTTAGCATGTGTTTAACCTGTTCAACCACCTAGATTCAAACACAAAAATGAACGTCATCTAGTTTCCCAGTATTGGCTAGCTAACCCTAGACGTTATCCACAAGGCCAAGAATGACTTTGGACTGTATACATAGACACAACTATCTATAACATTGAATTATGGGTCTTCCTTTCATTAGAGAACATTTGGCTGACCCTTTTTGAAGAATCATTTAATTTTATATTGAGCATCAGAGGACTGGAAGCTGCTCTTAGGCTGCATCATAGGTGGCTACTGGTTGATATGTGGTCATTAGTAATCTAGACTCCTTTCTCACCAGCTTTAGTTCTCTACCAACCACGGAAAGGCTATCCATATAACCACATCCAGGTACAATCATTGCACTTGTGTGGTGTCAAACTACCCTGCTGGGCTTCTTGTACTTTGCCTGATCATTATATATTGTACATAATAAAAGCCCAATCTACACCCTGCTCAACCGAGCCATTCTATGGATGGTGCATTTCAGCCAAAGACAACTAATCTATGTAATTAGATTCAATTCTTGAATACTTGGTAACATTGTCCCGGTGCTATGCCCCCACCTCTGTCCTGTCAATAACTTTTGTGATTACCTTCTGTGTCATCACAACTGCAGCTCCCTACATCCTAAAAGGGAATAATAGAATAAATAAGTGAGGATTTGGTTTTCAAAAATGGTCTGTAAAGGAGGATGGGAGGGAGGTGCAAGAGGGAGGGGATATGGGGATATATGTATACCTATAGCTGATTCACTTTGCTGTACAGCAGAAATTAACACAACATTGTAAAGCAATTATACTCCAATAAAGATGTTAAAATTTAAAAAAAAAAAAAAAGGTCTGTACTCACCTGTCCCTATATGAGCCTCCTGACCCAGTCTTTTCTGCTTTCTTGGGGGCAGGTTGCATGATCAGATGGTAAAAATCAACCAAAATCTGCATCGGCTGCAGGTAGCCTGGCGGGATGCTCAGCAAAGTTCTAGCCCTGCTGCTGACAACCTCCGTGAGCAGTTTGAACGACTGATGACCATCTATCTTTCTACTAAGACTGCCATGACTGAACCGCAAATGCTGCAAAACTGCCTAAATTTGCAGGTGTCCATGGCTGTTCTCCTAGTTCAACTGGCCATAGGCAATGAAGGCTCACAGCCGATAGAGCTAACTTTTCCTTTGCCAGATGGCTACAGTTCTTTGGCTTACGTGCCAGGTAAGCAGGCTCTACCTTGGGAGCTTCCTATTTATAGCCATCTAAGTTTAACTGGGTCACGTTGGAAGTTTAATCCTCAAAATATCCTTCCTTAGTTATCATTCAGCTGTTTTTGGAGAAACAACTCAAACCTGTAGGTAATGTCTGTTGGTTGAAGCCTGGGGGAACTGACAGCTTGTTCCTCAGCATTGTGTCGCCACTGCTGTGCAGATAAGAAAATAGTCTTCAAAGGATGAAGTGCAGTCAGGGTTTTCAGAGCTGTTAGTTTCTGTCATTACTGTTGTTTGTCATTCAACTTATAAATTTATTTGTCTAACCTACCCCCCTGTGCTATTCTTAGGGGAAAAAATCATCTCCTCTTGGTTAACCCAGAAGTGAGATTGTGTATGTATGTATATTGGTGAGGGGTCGGTAGAAACTGTCCGTCAAAATCAAATTACATGTTCTTGATCACTGTACTGGTCATCTATTGCTGAGTCACAAATTACCCCAGAACATAGTAACTCAACACAACAGACATTATCACACACAGTTTCCATGGGTCAGTGATCCAGGAGTAGCTTAGCTGCATGGTTCTGAATCTGGTCCCTCGTGAGGTTGCAGCCAGACTGTCCACCAGTGCCATGGGAATCTGAAGACTCGATCAGAGCTGGAGCATCTGCTTACAAGCTTAGTTGTGTGGTTGTTGGCAAACCTCAGTTGCTTGCTGGCTTCTTTTCCAGGCCACACAGGACTCTCCTTAGTACTGCTAATGGTATGGCAGGTGGCTTCCCTCAGAGCAGGGAACCAAAATGGAAGCTGTAGGCTTTTATAACCTAATTATGGAAATGACATGCCATCACTTCTATGTGCCCCATAGTGTGTCTTCTACCCTGGAATAGTGTAGGAGGAGATATACAAGGGCATAAATACTAGAAGGCAAAGACCAGTAGAGGACCCCAGAGAGTGAAGACCATAGTCATCTAATGTATTCATTTCTATTCAAGATTCTTTTCATCTAAAGTGTTATTTTAACACACAGTTAACCTTGAGTGTGGAAGTATATGTCTATCAGTATACTTTCTTAAACTGCACTGGTGTGTTAACATTTTATGTCTCTACTATTCTGTTTACTTGGATAAAAATAAAAATTGACTTACATTCAAAGGAGATTCTATATTAATTTATCGTCATTTCTAGTACCTACAAGACATTTGGGGTTTTTTTAACCTTCGCTAAGTAGAGTAAAAGGGAGGAATTTAAATATTGCATAATACAAAGAGTCAGATGTTTGGCTAATTCCAGTGAATATTTTCTTTCTCAGAATTTTTTGCAGATAACTTGGGTGATTTCCTCATTTTTCTCCGCCGCTTTGCCGATGACATCTTGGAGACATCAGCAGATTCCCTGGAACATGTCCTTCATTTTATCACCATTTTCACTGGAAGCATAGAAAGGTGAAGTGCTGAAAGCATGGCTCTGTCACAGTTTAGAGCTGCAAAACATTCAGAAGACTTCTAAACCAAGAAATAAACAAGCCTGAATCATAAGGGGTTGCCTTCAGAAGTTGTGTTAACATTAATGAATCACCTGACTATCCTTATGGGTAGCCCAAAATCCCACACTTGAGAGGCATAATAAACAAAGGACTTTGCCCACAGAGAATTTGAACCTGCATATAAGGTACCTGATGGGAATTTCACTGCTAGTCCCTGGTTAAAATAGTTACCTTAATGCCAGAGACCTTGCCAGGTGCTAATGATCTTCTAATGTATGATAACAAAGTTTGCTCTTAAAATTCTGAGTTGGATGAGCAGTAAACTTGGGTAAATGCCCTCTGATCTCATCTTACCATTCATAGCTTCTAGTCCTCCTTCCCAAAGGAAGATGCTCATTGACCTGTAGAGTTGCTTCTCTGATTTTTTGGTGGTAGGCCAAAGGAAACAGTATGTATGTAAGTGAGAATTTGCTGCACAAAGAAGAGACCCACAATCCCCTGAGCCGTGTCAGTGAGACATAGGTAGAAGCCAGTCCTTCACTGAACTGAGCAGACCTAACGAAAAATCATAAGTCAACAAGTATTAGGCGCACATGGTATGCATTATAAGTAACGTGGAATAATTATATCCTGGCCCTTAGCCTCAGAAAGCTTGGAAAGGCAAGTTTATCCCAGATGAAGCTGTCAGAGAATAGTAAATAGTAAGTCGTGCATTGTTATAGAGAAGTAAACAGAATGGCAGAGCATTAAATAGAAACTTAAGTACTCATCCTCGTAATTGGTAAGCTGTGATCTTAAAGAGCTGAATGGTACACTCTGCATATCCCCCAGAAATTGACTGACTTAAAACTGCGGAGTCGTGTTTTCCCCTGTAACTCTGTACAGATGATATATGATGTTTTGACTCCTCGTATGGAGAGAATAGTTATAAATTTGGGAGTTAAATTTTCTGCCTGCTCAGTTTGCTTTCTGCCCTATTCATAGGATGAAGAATCCCCACCTAAGGGCCAAACTCGCTGAGGTGTTGGAAGCAGTGATGCCCCACATGGATCAGACCCCAAATCCCTTGGTATCCAGTGTGTTCCACCGGAAACGTGTGTTCTGCAACTTTCCCTATGCATCCCACCTTGCAGAAGCTCTAATCAAGGTCTTTGTGGACATTGAGTTTACAGGTAAAGCAGTCTAGAACCAAGAAACTGATCGCTGATCAGTTTTTAAATGTCAGGAAAATAATCATAAGCCATTATTTATTGAATACCTATCATGTACTACCCTTGATGCTAAGTGCTTTTTTCACATTGTTTCCTTAATCTGTCACCATCTGGAAAGTTTTACTCTATTATCCCCATTTACCTATGAAGACATGGATGCTCAAAAAGATTAAATTATTTGTTTATGTCATACAATTAAGTGGTAGAATCAGGTCTCTCTCACCTTAAAAAAGAAAAACGCATACTGTTAACAACTTTACTATAATTTTTGATAGAATCATACTCAAATAAATTAGGCTGTCCAGTTAAAACCCCAGGTCTTTATTTTTCTCTGCCTCAAAATTACAGAGTGGTGGATAATGAGACAGTGTGCTGATTGAGATATTCTTTTGTCTTATCCAAACGGTCTAACTCTCATACAATTTAATTGTTAGATTAAGAATAACAGCAGGGGGCTTCCCTGGGGGCGCAGTGGTTGAGAGTCCGCCTAACGATGCAGGGGACACAGGTTCATGCGCCGGTCTGGGAAGGTCCCACATGCCGCGGAGCGGCTAGGCCCATGAGCCATGGCCGCTGAGCCTCCGCATCCGGAGCCTGTGCTCCACAACGGGAGAGGCCACAGCAGTGAGAGGCCCGCGTACAGCAAAAAAAAAAAGAATAACAGCAGGCAACATTCCCTTTTTCTCATGCCCTTTTGAGCTGTAACCCTGAGATGCTATGTCTGAGTAAACAGTACCACCTCTCAACCAGTAAACAAGATACGCAAAGCAGTTACTTAAGACCCCTTTTAAAGGGGATGTCCTACCAGCCAGTGATAAATACAATTAACATTAAAGAGACATTTAATACTTTACTGACCTTCCATATTTGAATTTTGACTTTGTTACTTGCTTACCTCTGAGATATAGTTTCCTCATTTGTAAAAGGGGTTGAAGTGATGGTTGAGGCAGTGTATGTAAATCTTTATAATATATAAGAAGTTGCACAATAAATCATTGCGGTTATCTCATTATACAGCCACTATGACCCTTTGGTTGTAATATTAGAGGGTGTATTATAATTCCTGTTTTATTTTCTGAGGAAGTGGGAGTTGAGAAAGAGTAAGAGACTTGCATTAAGTGGAGCCAGAAGGAAAACCTAAGTCTCCTGACTCCAAATCCCATGCCCCTCCTTTATTATATGACCCAACCTGTAGAGCTCTGGTGGTACCTCTGGCATGTCAAAAGCAGTATAAGCCAGATTTTTAGCTCCTGGCCTGATTTTTCAGAGTAATCAAGAACCAATTGGCCACACAGTTGGGATGTTATCCATGAAGAATGTGGGGATTACTTTTAGTAGCCCATCCTGCACGTGGCTGGCTCTGCCACAATGGCCAGCTCAGAGGCCTCATTCAAAGTCTGATAAGTAGTCTACATTTGGATATGGAAGCATTTGTTTCCCTTGGCTTTTATTTTGCAGCTCAGTCCTTGTCCTTTTCTGAGTACTGTATCATTTATATGGCCCCCTCTTGTTCCGTCGGTAAGGAAATAAGCAAACACTTGATTATGACTCTAGGCCTTCAACTCCCACGGCAGGTCTTGCCGGTAGCCTTGACACATTCAGAATTTTTATAAAATGGCTACACATAAACATAAGCTCTTGCCTTTTCTCTAATAGCACCACCTTTGCTGATGTTTTGCTCTTACCTTACTCCAGGAGACCCCCATCAGTTTGAGCAGAAGTTTAATTACCGCCGCCCCATGTATCCCATCCTCAGGTACATGTGGGGAACAGATACCTATCGAGAGAGCATTAAGGTGAGAATGTTTTTGGTGAAACCAAAATTGAGTTATCTGAGTTTTGCTCCACATAAGCCCCAATGGGTTGTGATTCAGTACTAAAATGTTTTTTTCTTGGGCTGGGACTTACAGGATTTGGCTGACTATGCCTCTAAGAATTTAGAAGCCATGAATCCCCCACTTTTCCTCCGCTTTCTTAACCTGCTAATGAACGATGCCATCTTCCTTTTGGATGAAGCCATACAGGTAAAAAAACAAACAAACAAACAGATTTAACTGCCCTTATACCATCATACATACTTTTTACCTTTTAGTTATAATAGAGCAATCCTTATGCTTTCAATCCCCTAGTGCCAGTCTTGGACACCAAAAATTTGCAAGTAGTAATGTACCACCAACCTTGCCCTTGTAGAGTTTGATAGGTATTGTTCCATTACAGACCAAGACTAAGGGCCTTATGAGCTAGGATGATATTTTGGCAGAGAGTGGAAAAGAAAGTGTGACAGGCCAAACTAAGGTACACTGGCAGAACTAATCAGTCTAGCACTACAGAAGGAAATCAGAGGATCTTCGTTCAGTTAGTGACTTTCAGCTTTCTTCATCCCAAGACATCAGTAACAGTGACTGACCAAGGCAATGATTCTTAGCCCTCTTTCCTAAAAGATTCTGACTTTTTACCACTATTTGGAAAAAAAATCTCTGGTTTGGGTTATTATTTCACATAAAGACTCCAAGTCATCAGTACTCTTCATCTGTCCACTGCCTCACAAATCTTTAGCTATACCTGAAACGTGAGTTTTACAAAGTATACACCTGGGGGTCTCTCAGTTCCTTCAGCTTAACCCTCCCTCGTGGAGCTTCTTATTGCTCCTATAAAAACTTCCCTTATCTGCGACAGGTGTAAGATAGGGCAGTGACCCAAAGGGAGACAAAGCAGGTAAATCATGAGGGTAGCCTGTTGGATAGCCCACACACTCCTCGTATTGATTAGCAATCTCCCAGTAACTTGTATTTAATTTGTGAGAAAATGTTCCTGCTTTGTTCATAATCCCATACTTGAAGATTTTAGATCTGTTGCCTTAGAAAACAAGTCCTGTAATAAATAGACGTTGCTAAGCAAGAGCTATGTAACAGAATGACACAGACGGCGTTTTCATGGGACTGTAAGTTTAACATGCTTGCTACAACAGCAAAAATGGTGAGAGGTAGAGGGTTTTAAATATTTATGGTTCTCCTTCCAGACATTTTGCATATTTGATAGAGCTTTGTTTTTTGATAAGCAGTTTTGGGGGGTGGGTTTTTTTTCATCTTTCATCTTTTTTTTCCCTGTAGCCTGTTTGCTTTTACCAATATTTCATATACTATTTATCCTCGTTTCTATTTCATAGACTATAATATTTCCAGGGGAATTACCCATAAGTCTACCCAGGCTGAAGCAATTTTTCCCACAATTTCTTTTTTATCTTTTTTTGTCCTTTTTTTCGTCCTTTTTTTTTTTTTAAGTCTGTGCCTTGCAGCATGCAGGATTCTTAGTTCCCCGACCAGGGATCAAACCCATGTCCCCTGCATTGGGAGTGTGCAGTCTTAGCCACTGGACCGCCAGGAAAGTCTCCCCACAATTTCTTTTTAAACTTAAGCCCTGTGCTGAGAAATAAAGCCTCATGTCTCTTAGGTAGTCCGTGGTTTTCCCAGCTTAGTAGACTAGATTTTAAATAGGACCTCTTAAATATCATCTTCCCTTCAATACACTTTGTTCTCTGATACCTTCCACTCTGGTTTCTGTAGTATTTGAGCAAGATAAAAATTCAACAAATTGAGAAGGACCGAGGTGAATGGGACAGTCTGACTCCAGAAGCTCGCCGAGAGAAGGAGGCTGGCCTGCAGATGTTTGGACAGCTGGCACGTTTCCATAACATCATGTCCAATGAAACAATTGGTACCCTTGCCTTTCTGACATCAGGTAAGGATACAACACACTGCTTTCCCAAAACATGCAGTGGTTAAGATCTGCTTCATTTGAGGGATCAGCCCACTGAGACTCTGGTGACAGTATCCTCCTCCACAGTCTGAGAGGAAGTGAAACACTAGAGAAGCTTCAAAAAGAATGATGTTGTCCATTGTTGACATGGGAATGAGGAAATGGTCATCCTCACACAGCTGCCAGAAAGCATAAGTTAGTGTAATTTTTCTTGAGGACACAACTTACCCATATCAGTATATCTGGGGGTGTTTGTGTTACCTGAAAAAAATATTCTTGAACTCTGGTTAAATGTGGTAGATCAAACAGAGATATTTATCTCTCCTCCCTCTAGAGCTGCACTGTCCAGTTCAGTAGTCACTCGCCACATGTGGCTCTCAAGCATTTAAACTTTGGCTAGTCAGAATTGAGATGTGATGTAAGTAGAAAATACACACTGCAAGACTTTGTATTTATAAACAAAGTAAAACCTTTCATTAATAATTTTTATATTGATTATATATGAAATGACAACCCAAGGATCACCAGATATTTGAGGAAATGTGAAACACAGATAATAGATGAAAACTCTTTAAAACAGGGGTCCCCACCCCCCAGGCCGCGGACCAGTATCGGTCCACAGCCTGTTAGGAACAGGGCCGCACAGCAGGAGGTGAGTGGCGGCCGAGTGAGCGAAGCGTCATCTGCCACTCCCCTTTGCTCCCCATCACTCGCATTACCGCCTGAACCATCACCCCACCCCCACCCCCGGTTCGTGGAAAAATTGTCTTACACGAAACCAGTCCCTAGTGCCAAAAAGGTTGGGGACTGCTGCTTTAAAATATCTTTATAATCTCAGAGGTATGAGAGAAGATACAGCATACATAAAACAGAAACAAAGAGGCAACACAAGGGATTATGCAAAGAACAAGAAGGAGCTCTTGGATATTGAAAATATAACTTCAGAAATTTTGAAAAGTCAGTAGAAGGGTTACAAGATAAATTCAAGGAACTCTTCCATGAAAGTAGAACAGAAAAAGATGGAAATTAGAAGAGAAAACAAGAAAATAAAGGATCAATCTAGGAAGTGTCAAAAGAGAAAAATGAAAGGACGTTATCAAAGAAATAATACCCCCCAAATTCCCCAAAACTAAGAGAGTCTAAATTAAAAGGAGCCACCAAGTACCCAGTGCAGGGAATTTTTAAACCCCCACACTAAGGTATATCATTGTGGCATTTCAGAAAATCAGCGTACCTAAAAGTTTCCAGAGAAAAATCAGGTCATGTACAATGATTTAAACATCTTTGAATTTCACAGCACTGACGTTTGAAGCTGGAACACAGTCCTGTTGGAAAATATCTTTTCAGCCTAGAATCTTATTGCCAACCAAACAGTTTTACCCTGTTTGCAGGTAAAATATAAGGACATCTTCAGATGTGAAGGTATCACATTTACTTCCAGTGTACCCTTTTTTGAAAAGCTACGAAAGGATGAATATACTCCATCAAAACGAAGGAGGAAAGTGGAATCCTGTAAGAGAGATGCAAAGGAAGTTCCCAGGCTGATGACAGAGGTAGCTTGTGTGACCACCACACCATAGGCCTATAAAACAAGGAGTCCAGATTGGAGTGAGGAATGGAAGCTTCCAGAAAGAACATCTCCAAAAATTATTTTTGAGAGTTTTACATTTCTGGTGGAGAGTTTAGAAAGATTTCATTATAGGTACTCTGAAAATAAGCAGGGAAAAAAAAGTATATATAGGGGCTTCACTGGTGGTGCAGTGGTTGAGAGTCCGCCTGCCGATGCAGGGGATGTGGGTTCGTGCCCCGGTCTGGGAAGATCCCACATGCCACGGAGCAGCTAGGCCCGTGAGCCATGGGCGCCGAGCCTGCTCATCCGGAGCCTGTGCTCCGCAACGGGCAAAAAAAAAAAAAAAAAAAAAAAAAAAAAAAGGTATAGGGGCTTCCCTGGTGGCATAGTGGTTGAGAGTCCACTTGCCGATGTAGGGGACACGGGTTCGTGCCCCGGTCCGAGAAGATCCCACATGCTGTGGAGCAGCTAAGCCCGTGCGCCACAACTACTAAGCCTGCACTGTAGAGCCTGCAAGCCACAACTACTGAAGCCTGCACATGTAGAGCCCATGCTCCGCAACCAGAGAAGCCACTGCAATAAGAAGCCTGTGCATCACAACGAAGAGTAGCCCCTGCTTGCTGCAACTAGAGAAAGCCCGTGTACAGCAACAAAGACCCATGCAGCCAAAAATAGTAATAAATAAAAAATCTTTTAATTAAAATATATATTATTTTTAAAATAAAAATAAAAAGTATATATTACTTTATACATATAATCATTAGAATACTATGTGGCTCTGCTGTATATGACATTTACATAATCTTAATGACAAAGTCTAAATTATTTCACCAAAGATTTGTTTATATATTAGGGGAATTTGTATTTGGGGAAGAGGGACAGCAATGAGAGCTAAACTCTCATCAGTAGTAGAGTCAACAGATAATGACTAAAATTGAAAAATTAAGAGCCAGCAGTACTAAGTAAGCCTTATACTACTTGGCTTGTTGCACTTGGTATTTATTTATTTATTCATTCATTCATTCATTCATGACGTGACCTAGCAGTCCCTTACAAATTTGTTGGAGGAAGTAATGTCTACAAGATATGTACACAGTGAAGTTCATCAGTTAGTGAAATGCTTATAATAAGAAAAAATTGAAAACAATAGTAATGTCCAGCAATAAAGATAGAGTAAATAAATAACTCATGGTGTAGTCACACATTAGAAAACTATGTGGCCATTAAAAAGGGTATGACGGCTTCCCTGGTGGCGCAGTGGTTGAGAGTCCGCCTGCCGATGCAGGGGACACGGGTTCGTGCCCTGGTCCGGGAGGATCCCACATGCTGTGGAGCGGCTGGGCCCGTGAGCCATGGCCGCTGAGCCTGCGCGTCCGGAGCCTGTGCTCCACAACGGGAGAGGCCACAACAGTGAGAGGCCCGTGTACCGCAAAAAAAAAAAAAGGTATGACTCGTCACTATCCTATAGAACTTTATGTGATGGAAATGTTCTATAAATCTGGACTGTCCAATACTATAGGTACTAGCCACGTGGCCATTGAATACTTGAAATGTGGGTAGTGTATCTGAAAAACTGAATTTTTTATTTAATTTTAATTAATTTAAATAGTCACATGTGGCCAGTGGCTACCATGTTGGACAGCACAAGAACCTATATTTACTGAAATGGTAAGGTATTTACGATATCATTAATGAAAAAAGTAAGTTACAGAATATGTACAATCTGATAATCATTTTGTTTTATAAATGTATATGTATGTAAATATGGACAGAAAAGCTAGAAGGATATATTAGCAAAATGTTAAGTGTTTACATCTGAGTAGTAGTTTTTATATTTTGTTTGTTTGCTTTTCCTTGTCTAATATTTTCTAATATTACTGCAATGAAAATGTATTTTAAAAAATAGCAGTCCCCAGAGGTCTCCAAGTAAAACTCTAAGACATTGTAAGTGGAAGATTGCTAATGGATTGAGTCTTCACCAACTTTGGCTTTTTTTCCAGAGATCAGATCCCTCTTTGTGCATCCTTTCCTGGCTGAGCGCATCATCTCCATGCTGAACTACTTCCTGCAGCACCTGGTTGGCCCCAAGATGGGGGCCTTAAAAGTCAAGGACTTCAGTGAATTTGACTTCAAACCCCAGCAGCTCGTTTCAGATATCTGCACCATCTACTTAAATCTTGGGTACCTGAGATTTAATTGGGCAGGCCAGAGGGCTTGCTCATGTTTTAACTGGGGGTTTTGACAGTGGAATGACTAGCTGGTAATTATGTGGAAATAGAAAGGAAATGGTTTGTTTCTAGTTGGCTGATGAAGGAATCTTCTGTAGTTTTAAATAATGAGATTTTGTATGACCTGTGGGACGTTATTTGGAATTTCCAACATTCTGCCTTGATCTGTGCAAAGATAAACTTTACTGATTGTTCCATTGTTTGGAAAAGCAGTATATTTTTAAGGTCATGGGATACTTGATAAGACTTCCTTCCTAAAAATTAGAAGAAATCATTCTATATCAAAAGAACATTCATGGTACATAAGTGATGAGGAACTTTGTTCCTCAACCCATCCGTTATTGCCCTCTTTGACCTATCTTCTGATGCTCAGTTTCTTTCTGATGCTGACCTTCTAGGGATGAGGAGAATTTCTGTGCCACTGTGCCCAAGGATGGACGTTCCTATTCCCCAACTCTCTTTGCACAGACAGTCCGAGTCCTGAAGAAAATAAATAAGCCTGGGAATATGATTGTGGCTTTCAGCAACTTAGCAGAGAGAATCAAGGTAAGGAGGAGGATAATTTGCTTATTAACATGTTCAATAAAAACCATGTCAACTCAGCCGTTCTGCTTTTTTACCCAATTTGAGAGGGCAAAAGAGTATTGCGTTGAGAAAATATAAATAGCTGATTCTTCTGATTAGTCAATAGCTAAAACTACCATATTCTTTAATAGTACTACTCTTTTCAATATGAGGGTGAGAACAGAAAAATAATTTAAGAAGCTTCTACTATAAAGAATTTACAGATTTTTAATAGGCTGTTCTTATGAAAACTTCTGTGTACAGTGTTACCAATAGATTTGAAAATCTACGATACTTATGCAGAACGTTTTAGAATACAATTCAAGATTAGTAGCTTTTAGTCATTGATTTTTATTGATTTTTCTCTGTTCTCTCTATTTGTAGTTGGTAGTTGGCTTATGTAGGAATGGCCATACATTTTAAAGATTAAAATACTGTATTGTACTCAGCTAATCCCTTTCGTTGGAGCAGCTTCATTTGCATTTATGAAGAAGGAAAAATTACGGCACAGAGTCTAATGGAAAACCTTCCTAATTGATAACAGTCTTCCCTTCGTTGAGTTACTTATTTATTGAATTGGGCTTCATCTTTGCCTAGAGCTTAGGCAGATGGATCGCTGAGGAACTAAAGTTCAATCAGATGTTGAAGCCACTTTTAAATTCCCATACCTGTTTGTACCTAAAACCGGAAACTGCTTTTCATACACAGACTGCATGGGTAACTCTGTAATTATACAAATAATAACCCCCTCCAACCCCCACCCCTTACAGCCGGGTTGTTGTCAGAAGGATGGATGTTGAGCGTGTGGTTTTTTTCCCTGTTAACATTTAAATCCATTTCTGGTCATGGCTGCTAGCAGCTGACCCAAACTGAAGATTCAGAGTTGGGGCTGAATGTTAAACTTGCTCCTATAGTATCCATATTGGCTTGTTTAGAACATAAAGCTGAGAATTGTTACTGTCGCCGTAAAGGGATACTAACAATAACACTTGAAGATTAAGGTATAGTCATTGAGCATTTTGAGTTCAGCTGCTTCTGTGATTTCCCCGTAACTGCCCGGTATTTGTGCTCAGTCTCTAGCAGACCTCCAGCAACAGGAAGAGGAGACCTATGCAGACGCCTGTGATGAGTTTCTGGATCCCATCATGAGCACACTGATGTCTGACCCTGTGGTGCTGCCGTCTTCCAGAGTCACTGTGGATAGATCCACCATTGCCAGACATTTGCTCAGGTAAGCCAGCCCCCAAAAGCAGCCTCAAGAGTACAGGTGTACATTTGTCTGCTATCATCTTTTTCTCCCAGTACAGTACTGTGCGCCCAATAGGTACTCCACATTGTTGATTTATTAACGTATTGTGTTGAGGAGGCATTTTGGTAGAAGTATATCACTTGATTGTTAAGGATTTCAACATCCAAAACAAGACACCTGTTGAGAAATGCTGGAGCTAACCTTACCTCTTCCTTCCTCAAGGAACTAATTTCTATCAATTATAAAATATGTCAACCTGGAGTATAAGTTGACTTGAAATTGTTTTAATTTTACTTTAGTTGTAAAAATATGAAAGACAGATTGAAAAAAAAAATTCAGGTTTTACACTCATCGTATGGGTTTACCCACATTCTGCTGCAGCTGTTGGACTCAGCCATGGTGACTACAAGTTTTCCCCAGCCTGCCTACTCTAAGTGCAGCATTAGAAAGAAATGGGTACTGAGAGACTCTGCCTATTTAAAATGAAGTTATATAAGTTGACCCAGATATAGGGAAATAATATTTTTTAAATATTGGAAAAAAGGATGTTCTACTATGATGGTATTTGGTATTAAGCACTCGCTATATGCATGATGCTGTGCTGGGTAGTATGTCTTTTCCAAAGTGTCAGTGAGAGTTTATATTTTTATCGTGGCTTCAGAATACAGAGAGAAGGTATATCATCTTACCTATGAGGAAGCCATAATCTGCATTTACTTGAAGAGCAATCAGCTAGCTAAATCGAGTGTCAGCCTACAAAGCTTTATCCCTTAACACCTTATACTGTTTCAAGAGTCTGTCACTAAAACTACAAACAGCTCTTTATGCCGACATGATTGTTATAAGGTCTCTGTCTTGGGGAAATGGAATCAAATACCATCTGAAGAGCAAGGTTGAGATAAAGTTTGTTAAGCGGAGAGACAAAGTAGCTAAAAAATCTGCAAAAAAACAACAAAAAACCTCCCAAATCACTCTCTGTCATCCCATTCTTTCTAACCTCAAGTCAGCACTTGATTCAGAATCATAATACACTCTAGCTTCAGTCTCAAGGTGGGATGCCTAGGTATTCTCTTTTTGGCTGAAGATGTTAGAACTTACGGAAATAACCCCATTTCTCTTTTTGTCTCAGTGACCAAACAGATCCCTTTAACCGTAGTCCCCTCACCATGGACCAGATCCGGCCAAACACAGAACTAAAATCAAAAATCCAACGGTGGCTCGCAGAGAGGAAACAACAACAAAAGGAGCAACTTGAATAAATACTGTGACCTAAACAAACCAAAAACCAACCCCAGAGTGTAGATAAACAGTTGTTTGTGGTTTCTCCCTTTCTGGTTCTGTTCCTTTCCTTTTTCTTTCTTTCTTTTTTTTTCTTCACCCTTTACTAAATTAGAGAACTGCTCTTTCTCAAATTATGATAATTAAAATTCCTAAGAACTTTACAGTGCTCCTGGCTTGCAGGAAATTATAGCATCACCATGTTTGGAAATCATCACTAATTTTTACCCTTTTTTATATCTCTTCCTGTTCTTTCTTCTTCCTTTTCTTACCTTAAATTACATTAACTTCAACTACTAAAACCTCCTGCCACCTTACTGTTTCTCTTCCAAGAACTGCTCAGACATCTTTGGTGAGCACTGCTTTTAAGTATATGATGGTCACGTATTTCAGTGACAGCTGATATCAGAAAGTCCTGTGTTATCAAGGTATTTACTAGACTTTATGACCCAGACTTCAGCCCTTTTCCTTGTTACAGCTCTGCAATGTTACAGAATAACATTTTGTATAAAAGCAGATACCTTGATGTTTGAGTAGATTTTTGAATAAGATGAAAGATGACATGAAAAAAGGAATCTTACGCAACTTCAGTTGGTAGCTCTTAGTTGTGTATTATCTTGTAACTCAAAGATACCTTGGAGGCCAAACACTCCCCCATGGAGTTGTCATTACCACAGAAAATTTAGCCCTGTAATATTTTTAGGAGGATTGGTAGAACAAATTTGCAGTTTTGACACTTTATTCAGAAAATTCTGAGGTGAAAAAAGAAGGCTGTTGGGCCCTTTTCATCTGCTGGAAATCAGGACTAGGCTTGAGTAGAAAAGTTAGGCAACAAATATTGTAACTATGAAAAATGTCATTTTAAGACACTAATATCAGCAGTATATCTCAGTATATATATATACACACCTACATACACACACCATGTACATTTTTATATTGGTCTAGTATAAACAGAGTACCATTTTATATTGTCTCTTCCATGGTAAGATGTAGGCAGTGTGTGGCCATGTTTACTAACACTTATTCTAGACAAAATTCTGAGACTGTAAAATGTATATAGTTAACGTTTGTTTGGGCTTATGACTTGACTTCTAAGAGCTGCTTCTAACTCAGCCTTAGGTCATCAATTAACAGAGCAGGAATTTGAGCACAACCTTGTCCACAAACCATTTTAAATACCCACTTAGCCCTATGTAGTTAGTAGATGGATGGGCCCCACTTTTACAGGTTGAGCTTGAGTTCCCTACTCAGTTGTGCAGCTTAACATGCTGAGTGAGGCACATTCTCCTATGGACTGTCTATATCACTATCCCTCTAAGCCCGAAAATATAACTAACAAGAAAAGTGGTATGATCTAGAAAAAGGGGTCATTGCTTCATTTAGAGGATATTATTGTTAACCACGGCCTCTTTCAAATAAAATGGTAGTTTTACGGTAATCCAACACAAGTTGTTATAAGTAGTCCTTGATGTGTTTTTGATGGTATCAGCTGGAAACCCTCAAGTCAGAGGGCATCCCACACTAGATATAAAGTATATGTTGCCTATTGCTGTGCTTATAAATGAAAAAGGCCGTCTAGGACTCTCGCAAATGCCAGAATGTAAGATAGTAATTCAGTATGCTCCCTGGGCCTTTAAGGCATGGGTTGACAGGATTTGTTTATTTTCTTAAAATGAGCTTCATTTCATATTTATTATCCTCCTTTACTTCTCTGAGAATGAACTGTATAAAATAAGCTTCAATTTATTTGCATTTATCTTCCAAACCCAATGTAGTAGGATATTTTCATTTTTAAAAGAAGTGGGGAAAAGACCAGAGTTTTATAGGAGAAAATTGGAGGAAAAAACGGGCACAAAACCTTAGAAGGCAGCTGTTCCCAGCAGCTTTCTAGTTAACAACCTCTATGCTGCCTCTTGTATCTGTGTCTGTATTCTACTTCCGTATTAAGTCTTCAGATTGTAAGCCTTTTCTGGCAAGGGTTTTTGTTTTTGTTTTAAAAAATCTCTTTTCCTGAAACTTTTTATGAATGGCTGTGGCACCATTAATGCTGCTGAACATCTATAAACGCATCACAAAGGCAAGTGCGTAGCTTAAGGCCACTGTTGGTAAGGAAACCAAGTGTCCTCGGTGCCTTTTTCCTTTCCTTGAAGTAATTTAAGACATCCCAAAAATGAGACTAAAAAATTATGATCGTGGTACAACATGGTGCATATGTGCACTCAGAAGCTTAAAGAGGGCTTGTGTTTTCTGGAACTCAGCAAGCTCTAAATCTATTAGAGCAGGCTTTATGACATACCTAGTTTTATGTGTTGGCTTTGCTAGCATATGATAGGAAAGTGAAGACTCTTTAATCAGCTCTAGTATTGCTTACTAAGAGGGTAATACTAAACTTGGAAAATTAAGTACGTTTTATCAAGCAATCTGAGTTTGTTTGTTTTTAATATAGTTTTTAATGGATATGTGAAAACTGAAAGAAATGTCAAAGGTTTTTTAATGGTGCAGGTGAAGGTGCCAGTTGCTATTTGGTATCACACTCTACAAAAGCTTCATTACTTTATTTGATGCTGGTTACTAAGCAGCCATTGCACAGAGCATAAGTCTACTGGGTGCCTTTACAAGTCAGAGGCTGATGCTGCACTGTTGATGTCATGTGAGGAAATAATGCACATGCTCTAACTGCTTGGAAAAGAAAAAGAACCTAGAAACAAAGAAAATGAAGAACAAAACGACAAAAAGTTTGATTGAAATAAAACTTGATCAACGTAACTGTATTTTGGAACATTCCAGGAAGGTTACTTCTTGTCATACTTGCCTGGGGGTGTTTGTCAAAGCTTGTATTTAATAAATGAACATCTGACTTAACCTTTGTTATCACTGCTTTATTACAGTATCAAAAGCTAGTGGCAGTTCCAGAAATCCCTCTGAAAACTTAGAGGGCTCTGAACTTTACTTTTTTTTAAAGGTTGTATCAAATGTGTGGTCTGGCTGACCTAACCTGCCTTACCAGGCTTTTGGACCCTGGAGTTACCTTCAGATGAGTCTCAGGGCATGTTTCTTCCTAAGCAGTTCACTTTTGGCTTCACTTTTCTTCATCTGGCCTAAACCCCAGGTCTTTCATTTTAATCATTCACTATCAAGTTCCCCTTTCTTGCCCCTTGTTTCTGCACCTCTGCTATGCAAAACCTCAGCCCAGATTAACCCAACCATTTCCCTCTGCTCCAATATCCCAGCTGCAGGCTACTGTTGGAGAAAAATGACACAAACTTTAGAGTGGTGTGACCAACGACCCTTCTGTGTGTCCTTAACTTCAACAACTATTCCAAACTTTAACTTCTTTCCTTAGATTTTCTCCCACCCTCCCACTTAGCCCTCACACTCAGATGACCTTGCCTTCTACTTCATAGATTTCAGAATTTCCACTTTCAAACTTCTCTTCCATCATCGCATCTGTGGAAAAGGCCCCACAGTTTCAAGGCTAATCCCTCCAACCTTATTTACAGCCTCATCAGGAATCTTGTCAATCCCGCTTCTCGATCTTCAATCTCCCCCTTGAGTTTCCTATCTCACATTTGGTTTTCTGGCTGGTATTCCTTTATAGCCATATTTCTTCACTCTGGCTTCTATCCTAATTGAAACTGCTCTAGCTAATGTTTCTATATTGCTACATTAACTTCCTCATCCTTAATTTTACTTCTCTGGAGTATCAGGCAACTGAATCACTCCTTCACTGAAGCGCTGTTATTGACTCCTTGATATCACTCGTAATTTTTCATTCCACCTCTAACCATTCCATCAATCAGAGTTTTACTTCTACTCAGGCTTCCCCGGGTCCATTACTTATTGTTTTTCTCATCAAATGCCACATCCCTACGTATATCTTTCCTTCCAGTGATATTAACTATAAAGTTCAACTCCATAGGACACAGCTGTTCTGTTATATATCAACCCAAGGATCTCCTTCTTTAGGAAGTCTTCTCAGATCAGCACCACGCCTAATCCGATACTAATGCCTCTTCTCTGTTTACATTGCAACCTCATCAGACCCCAACTCTGCCACTCACTAGCTACTGTGGCCATTTACCAATGCCAGTCTTAAATAGGCACACTACCTAACACACAGGCTTTCTTTAAAGTCCAAAATGCCTGACAGACTGGAGGCCCTCAGTAAATGTGATTTTGTTCCTTATATCCCCATAGTTCCTTGCGGCTGGTTAGGGAATTAGGGGAATTGGATTCCAATCCTAATACAGGATGCGGGGGAGACCAGGATTACACCTAACTGTCCGTGTTTGGCCTAGGACCCACCCTCTCTGCCTTTGTAAGACGATCATGTTGGCCTAGAAAAATCGCAGCGGTGCCTTCCAGCCCTAACTTGCCTCCTCTCTGAAATGCTGCAAAACCACCCTGCGCAAAAAAAAAAAAAAAA